TATTTGGTCAGAATATTAATTATATTGTTATATTAGTGGGTATAATTGTTTACTATATATCTATTACATTTCACCACATTTATAGATATTACATATATTTATTGTCTCATTTCATTTTACTCATTGTATTTCCAAAATGATCATTCATTAAATTATTTTATAATTCTTCACCACATCTATTATATTTTGCTATATTTATATAAATACTGTATAATTTTCTTGCATTTCCAAAACAGAGATTAAACATTCTGTTGCATATAAACGAGAGCGTCTTTGTTCCATAAACTTCAAATAGAAGTTTACATTTTCATTATAAGTTTACATTTACGTTTTCATTTGTACCAATTAACGTTAATATTCGTCTCATTTAAAATTTTTGCCCGAATACTCGTCGTTGCTGGAACCAAGACGTTAACATGTGCGATGATAATATTGGTTACAGATTGAGCAACGCGTCGCAGCCGGCCATGCTGGTGTCGCCTAGTTTGGCGACTGTGATGATCCTCGACGACGATCACAGTGGCGTGTTCGGCTTCCCCGAAAGGGACATCGAGCTGGTGGAGAGCGTCGGCCAGTATCCTCTGCGAATTGTGAGATACAGCGGCGCCAGGGGACGCGTGGTCGTCCCCTATCGCACCATCGAGGGGACGGCCAAGCCTGGAAAGCAATTCATGCACACCGAGGGCTCGCTCACCTTCGAGGACAATCAGACCGAGTAAGTCTCCCTCGATTACGACCATTTCCCTGAAATTTCGAACGCTACAGCGCCGTGAAAATCACGGAAACGCCCTGTAAACCAGTCACCATGATTTTCAAAATTTTTTCCATCATTTTTTACCGAAATTCTAAAATCGTGATTTTACCTCCCTTTCAAATTTGTGCATATCATGGTTTCAGTTCGATATAGATATTTCATTGTGCCAGGACAATTATTTTATTGCTGAGAAAAAAACAAAAAAAAAGAAACGCCACAACGTTTCGAATTCAACAAAATTTATGCACTAATTGAATTCTAGAGGATTTACGAATCTACAGTGGAAATAAATTTCGTAGGTTGAAAGGACTAATACGAACTTGTGTGAAATGAAAACACGCGTTTTTACAGTGGGTAAAATGATTATTGGCACAACTAGTTTCTTGGCGATATCTTTACGAAAACAAAAATGTTATAATAACAAAATCTGTTTCGATAAATAGGTCATCAGGTACGAAAGCAATGTAAGTGCATAGTAACAATTTTCAATAATGAGTTATATAATAATAGTGCAAGAAATATGAAAATTCGAGAGACAGAAATGTTATTAAGAAAATAACAGACTATCCTTTTATAAGTATTGGAATGTTATCGAATGATAATGCTTGTCTATGAACTGTTAAAAATATTTGATATATTAGTAGAGCTGTCAATATTCTTTTGATTCTTCAATTTTCATATTACTTGCATTATTATTAACAACTCGTTATTGGAAATTACTACTATGTACATATTATTACATATTTATGAAAACAGATTTTATTAATATGTCATTTATTTTCATAAAGATATTGCTAGATATACCAATAACTGTTGGATCTACTGTAATTACGCTGTAGTCTGTCGCAACGATGGCATACACTATAGCCATAAATTAATTAATAACTTCAATAAATTAATGAATTTCGTCACCACGAGTCTACATAAATATGTCATCAACTTACAGAAATAATTACCCGGTGAAAATGTAATTATCTCAACTCGTTGATATAGAAAAATTAATCGGTTGAGAGGTTAAGAATCGTAACAAGGTTAGGTATCATATATTTATAAGCAATTGGAGAGGATGTGACTGGAAATTAGAAGTGGATTTGAAATGAAAATGAAAATTGACTCTCTCCCTTTTTCAACACTGATATGGAAAAAATCAATCGGTTAAGAGGTTAAGAACCGTAACAAGGTTAGGTATCATATTTATAGGCAATTGATTGAGTAAGATGGCTACTATGCGACTGACTCAAGGAAGTGACTGAAAATTAGGGGTGGATTTGAAATGAAAATGAAAATTAACTCTCTCTCTTTTTCAACATTGATATGGAAAAATCAATCGGTTGAGAGGTTAAGAATCGTAACAAGGTTAGGTATCATATATTTATAAGCAATTGGAGAGGATGTGACTGGAAATTAGAAGTGGATTTGAAATGAAAATGAAAATTAACTCTCTCTCTCTCTTTCTCTTTCAACAGATTGAGAGGTGGAAATTTGGAGGATTAATTAAGGTTAGGTACTGCATATTTATAGGTAATTGATAGCTGAAACTCGTATGAAGCGTATCATGGCCCGAGGCTAGGATGTGACTGAGAATTAGGGGTGAATTTCGAACGCAACGAAAGCCATGGACGCGAGGGAGATTTATCGGCGACCTTAATTGGTTTCTCATTGACAATGAGCAGCATCGTTCCGTGAACAGCTTTGAGATTTAGATAATTCGCTGGGACGACGGCCGATGGCCAGTTATCGAGCCACTCGTTTTTACTCGTCGAGTGAGTAGTGTGTTTTGAGACGACGAACGATGGGGGCCGATAGCCAAGCATGGAAATTTATTCTTGACCTTAATCGAATTTTCAACGGTCACCATCGAACGTCGTGCATTTCATTGTGCTCTCTCTCTCTCTCTCTCTCTCTC